CCACCACCCTCACCATCAGCTGCCTCTGATTGTCCTTGATTCCAGATGTCTTGTTTTGTTTATTTGTTTTCAGGAGAGTGGTTGGAGAGAAGAGTCTGGTGCACAATTCTGGTTTGATTGTGGTTATTAACTGCGTACGTGACAGGGTTTTACAGCCCCATGGAAAGTGCCAAATGTGGTCCTGCCCCTTGGGAAGGGGTGTGGTTGGCTACTGCCATAGCGAGTGCTTCAGCCTTATTCAGAATTTCCTGGCTGCCTGCAAATCTCCTCTCCACCACTCTGTTTTTCTCCCTGGAAAGTGGCTGGAACAAAGGGAATATTTGTTCATATGGCCAAAGCTTCCACCAGGACTTCAGAGAACAATAATCCTTCCAAGTCATTTAGTTCAACCACCTTATTTTTTGGATGAAGAGACTGAGCCTCGGAAAGCTACACTAATTTGGAACAAGTTCATGAGGCTCCTACATGCAGTCAGGACTCTCCATTTCGATGTTCTTTTCCTTAGCTGCCTGCAGGGGTAGGTTGGGCTGAGGGTGGGAGGGGGTTAGATGACAGTGGCAGTTCACAAGATGTCATCCCTCAAAGCAAAAAAGGAAGAACTAAAGACACCAGATTTTCCTTTCCCATACTGCTTAATGATTTTTCTCACAGTTTAGTCTATTAATATGTTCATTCATTTTAATGACTATCCAGGGAGTTGTTCCTAAATCAAATGCCTATTTATGTTTGATACAAGTGTGATCAGAGGACATAGGAAGTACATAGTTAGAGTTAAATTCTATTATCTGAGCTATTTCTGAATGAGAAGTTAAATATGTATAGACAGAGAAATGCATATCCTATCCAATAAAAGAGTAATATGCAGATTGACCATCACTCCAACATATAAAATGGCTGCCCCCATGTGGTCAAAGATGGCTGTCCCCATGTGGATACAAGGTGACCAGCAGGAGAGGGAAGTTGGAAGGGACAAGGCCTGCCAGGGAGGACAGTTGGGGGTGATCAAGTTGGCAGAGGAGGGAAGTTGGGAGCAAAGAAGCCGGCAGGGGAGCAGTTAGACATCAATCAGGTGGCAGGGGAGTGGTTAGCGGGTGATCAGGCTGGCAGGCAGAAGCAGTTAGAGGCAATCAGCAAGGCAGGCAGGCGAGCAGTTGGGAGCCAGCAGTCCTGGATTGTGAGAGGGATATATGACTAGTAGGAACAGTCGAACATCCCTGTAGAGGTCCCAGATTGGAGAGGGTGCAGGCTGGGCTGAGGGACACACCCCTCCCCGTGCACAAATTTCATGCACTGGGCTTCTGGTTTATCTAATATACATACAAATATGCATAGACAGATTAAAGCGCTCTATAATGATAAAAGTATAATATGCTAATTAGACCAGTTGTCATTCTGGACGAAGCCAGGGGAAGGAAGGCCTATTCTTGCACGAATCTTTGTGCATTGGGCCTCTAGTTCTAAATAAGTGATGTGGCTCAGAGTAAGCAATAGCACCCACCCTTCTCATCAGAGAGTTTGTATCATGCCCAGGACTTATATTATATGATACTGAATTGCAATGATTTATTTTCATGTCTTGGTCCTAGACAGTGAGGTCAGGAACCATGATTGCTTGCCTTGAGTGTTTGGCACATTTCAAAAATATGCTTTTGAAGGAATGCCTGGTAGTAGAGTAACCCCACCTTAGAATTTAGGCTTCACCACCTATTATGTGGTCTAGAAGAATCATTGACTGTTTCTGAACCTTAATTTCTTCATCTGCACCATGGGGTTCACTGCCCAACGTAAGGTACTGGTGAGAGGCTCAAATTGACTAACATGCATAAAAGCCTTTTCTATATATATAAAATACTATTATTAGTTTCCTTACACTCAAAAGTGTATAGTTTCTTTGCTGCACTTTTAGAAAGACAAGTTTGGTTTTTCTGGGGGAATATTCCTGACTCTGATAACATTCATATAACTGATTTTTTAGGATCTTCATACTATTGCTTATATAGTTGTTTTATGTTTTAATTTAAAAATTTTCAAATTGTAAAATTATAATCTCCATGGAATAATAATAATAATAAACTGTTTTTTTTTTTGAAACAACTGCTTTTAAGATGACCCAGTATCAGAATAATGACCAGGTTGTACACATTTCATTGCTCTCAGAAACCCGAGGAAGCACATCAGGATTTCTTGTCGCCAGGAGTGATGTAAAAAAATTCTTTAGTGTGATACAGCCTTGAATTCACGTAGTGCAATGGGGCTAACATTTGATTTTGTATTTTGTCTACACAGGGTTCTCTCCCTGACAGTTTGCCACTAGCCCGATTATACAGATGCTCATTAATCAAGTCAAGTCAAAATGTCAGCATGTTCACACTGTGAGCCCCTAGAAGGTCATCAGGTAGGCCACCACACCACAAACATGGTTTTTGGTGCAAATGCCAGTTAGCTTGAGGGGCTCCCTTTGTTGACGGGATAAATATATACAAGTAGTATAATGATTATAAGAATAGTATGTGCTTATGTGCTTACTTTGATTTTGACAAATTTTGTGACTTCTGAGTCTCAATTTTTCATCTGTAAAATGGACATACAAATACGTATATAACAGGCATAATAGGATTGTGATGATAATTAAAGAAAGGACATTGCTCAGCAAGTGCAGGTGCTCAATGAAAAGTAATTATATGACCTGTAATAACTAATGATGTTATTGAGTAATAATGAAATTAATAACTTATAATATCAATTATATTAATAATAATAAGGCTTATGCATGACAGATTGTCTTAAGAACTTACAAATATTTAATCAACACACACAGGTAGGGACTATTATTTTCCCAAGTTTACACCTGAGACCTAGAGGTTAGACACATTGCATACCGGAAAAGGCCCACCGGGCTATAAACTCAGGCAATCTGACTCCAGGATCAGAGTTCTTACCACCAATGCTATACTCTGATGCCTTCTCACCGATGCTGTTATGGACTTAGGTTTTAGCGAAACAAGTGGCAGTTTTTTTGCACGGTGCAGGAAAGAATAGCATGTCCAATCACTGTGGCTTGTCATATAGGTGCCTACACCCATTGAAGGAGTTTGTGTCCACTAGATGGCATTGCTGTTTTAAATAAATGTGAATCAAGTCAATATTTAGGTGTAAGAGCCTGCTAAATATGGGAGCACTAGCAAGACAATATAATTGCACCCCAAAATGTCTGATGAAAGAGGTCTCCAAAGTTTAAGAATATCTAGAGCTATTCTAAAGACTAATGGTATCTTGAAGTAATTAAAAGATATATGCCAGCCCATTTTGGGTATTATTTTCTATGTAAAACATCTGGATGGATTTTGAGATTATCTAGTCCAAAGGCAGCAGCTCTGAGAATAATAAACTGAAGGCCAGAGAGGAAAAGTGACTCCTCTAGTGACCCAGGCCTGATGGTTTTGGCTGTATTTCTTTTGCCATACTTCTAGTGAATCTAGATTATAAGAAAACTATGACTTTTGAATTCTTATAAGACTTTATTTTCTGGGGATGGGAAAGAATGCTGCCCAAGAATTGTGAGTTTTGTTTCATTTAGTTTTGAACATGTGCTCCAAATCTATAGCAGACTCTCGCACTTAATAATAGATATTAAGTAGGATAAAAGTGAAAAATGGTGCTGTCTTCTCTTTCTCTCTCTTCCATAACAACATGCTCTCTTGAGATTAAGTGACTTCACTTAAAAAGATTGTCCCTGTTTGTTGACAATGCAGTGTGTGAATATTAAACCCACAACAGGTAGCCGAGTAATGGATAAGAAAAAGGGCACTGGAATCAGACTGCCTATGGTAGAAACTGTCTCCATCACTTAGTAACTAATGGAATCTGGGAAAATCAGATGTCTTTAAACCTCTATTTCCTCGTCTGTAAAATGGGAATAATATTTGTACTTATAAGATGCTTACGAAAATGAAATGGATGCAAAGTGCCTGTGACAGAGTTAAAAAGCAAGGTTAAGGATGGCAATAATAACTAATATTTTGTATTAAAGTTTGATGTTCAGTTTTCTACGTCTCTCAGTGTGAGCCATTTCAGACATTTTGTCAACAACTTCTTTCCTCACTGTCACATCCTGAATTGCCAAAAGAGAGAAAGAATGTCCCGGGTTTTATATCTGTGTCACATTGCTCCTCCCTCCACCAGATGGCGGAAGTAGCCAAGATACATATAGCATGTACTTCATTATGTGTTCACATCAACTTTATTTAAAAAGCTCGTAGGTTTTAGGCTCCTACTCACAGTGCAGATAGAGAAGGTGCCTGAGCACGTGGCATACAGCACTATCAGTGTTGAGTTATTAGGCATTTGCCGAGTTTCAAACATTGCTCTCTTTTACAATATTAACTCACGTAATTCTTACAACCACCATGTGTTCTACGAATTAATGCTTTTCTCTTTTTTAAAGATGAGAGGGGAAAAAAAGATGAGTAAACTGGGATTTAAAAACTTGCTCCAGCTCAAATACTAAGCCACAGAGTCAGGGTTGAAATGCAGGTGTCCTAATTCTTTTTTTTTTTAATTTTTAAAATAGATTATATTGATTTTTTAATCAGAGAGAAAGGGAGAAGGATAGAAAGTCAGGAACATCGATGAGAGAGAAACACCTATCAGCTGCCTCCTGCATTATTTCACGTGGAATAGCCCCTTGCTGAAATTTTCCAGTTTATAACAATCATATTTTTCTTTCAGTGACAAACCCAAATTTCTATGTATAACAGATAGCATCTGTTCTTTACAGATAACATCTTTCTATATATAATTTCTTCCTTTGCTTGGGACACATTTTTATGGGATAGGGCAACAGCGACAGTTATTAGGAAATATTTTAAAACCAACAACTTTTCTCCCTAGAAGCCATGAGTGCAAGTAATTCAACAAACTGAGAAAATGACCCTTGACATAGGACCAAGGCACTTTCAAAGCAGAATTTCCAAAAACGAGGGGGGAAGACTCCCACTTACCGATTTCAGTCATGGTTATCCCTGGTGCTAACTGCCCGTTGTTGAAAGAGCTATAGGTAAACAAGTTGGATACGGACGTGAGGTCATAGATGGGTTCTTGCTTTATCTGTTTGATCCCAGTCATGTCCAGTCCTGACTGATCGGGGGATGGCTGGCCGGAATCCACGCTGTAATAGCCCTCGGATTTGGGCAGGTCAATGACATGTCCGTTGGCGTAAGTGCCGCCGGCCTCGGTGTTCAGGCTGCTGAGGCTGTTGCTGATGCTGCTGCCGTACACCCTGGCCAGGGCTTCCGCCTCCCCGCTCTGCTGCTGCCGCTGCTCCTGCAGCCGCTGCTGGTGCTTCTGCACCTCGGCATACAGGCTGTCCCTCTGCTTCTTGGACATCCTCCCGAACTTCACAGCTGGGCGGAGAGAAAAGCAGAGAACAGCGCAGGCGATTATCATTCTCGCTAACCACCTCAAGTCCGATGGGTCATGGATGGCTGTCCCCTTAAATGCATGGACTCCTAGCACAAGAGCCCAGGAGCCATTCATTGGCACTCCATATTTGGTAAAAGTTATATTCATGGGTGTCCTTACTGGTTTATGTGCACGGGGAGAATTAAATTTAAGCTAGGAAGAAATGTGAAAACTTAGGTATTTCTTATTGCCGTGAAGTTGGAAAGCATATTTTCTTGTTCCTTTTATATTTGTGGGGGGAAAATCTTAAATAATACAAACTACCAAATAGTACCTGCTAAGAATATGTCAACCTAAACTTTTGTTAACTTCCTCTCTAAGCATTAGGATTACTAGGTTGACGAATAGGACCTTATTATTTCACTGTTTTCTAGTGAGTTGGGTAAGAACAAGAATGTGGGGCAGGGTGATAAACATAGTGTTAAGTAAACCACATCATTTGCCTTCAGTTGGAAGTTTTGGTGTCAAATGAAATGGATTTTTGGAAGAAGTTTGTGCGTTCAGTGGCCAGCAAGTGATCCAACAGTAACCCCTCTTCTCTCATTCCACAGTCCCCGTCCCAAGTTTTATATTGTCCATCTCTTCTGCCAAAAGCCTTAGCCATTCTGAGGAAAAAGGAGGAAGAGGCTCTGGAAGTGGTCATAGAGTGATATGAGGATGCTTTCATCTGAATGGTTTCTTTTTTAAAAAATATATTTTTATTGATTTCAGAGAGGAAGGGAGAGGGAGAGGGAGAGAGAGAGGAACATCAATGATGAGAGAATCATTGATTGGCTGCCTCCTACATGACCCACACTGGGGATCAAGCCCACAAACCAGGCATGTGCCCTGACTGGGAATCAAACCGTGACCTTCAGGTTCATAACTCAACACTCAACCACTGAGCCATGCTGGCTGGGCTGAATGCATTGTTTTATAACTTATAGAGCTTAATCTCCTGAACTGTCACAGGTAGTGATGTTTTTCCTCACCAGCTGTTGACTCCCACTTTAGGTTGTAAAATTCCTAAGTCCAGGGTTGTCTGAATCATTAAGCTGTATTTCGTTCAACTCATGTTAACAATGGGAACTGGGACAAACTTGGAGGCTCCTCTCTGAGTCTCTGTTTTCCTCTGTGACAGTGTTCTCATCACTTGATGGTGTTGGGAGCTCAGAGAATGTAGAAAGAATAAAGTGGAGGCAAGAAACTGGTTCAACCCTTGATTTGGTCATTAGGGTTGATGAAAATAACTTCTGAGAATAACTAAGCAGGGATGTGCTTAAGATCTAACTCTCCAGTCCAGCATGAAGAGCCTATGGAAGAGATCCCTGCTGTGAAGGAGCTGCCACTCATCCCCCACACTTCTCCAGCTCATTTTCTCCTTCTGTTGGTTATAGAGCTACCAAATTTTATACAAGCATCATCTGTTCAGAACAGAGACCACGTTTCCCAACCTCTGTCACGGCCAAGTGTGACTAGGAGATTAAGTTCTGAGTAACTGTGTATACTTTCCGGTGACAAGAATGTCATTTTCCTCCTGCCTGCCTGCAGGATTATGGATGTGAGGGGTGGACTTGGAGCAGCCTAAACTCTTCCTATTTCTCTTTAACTCTATGTTTTTGCTTTCCAATGCTGCCTAAGTTAGAAAACATAGTAGCAATTATCCAGTAATTTTTCTGAATGAAGAAAATTAACGTGGTGAATTCAGACCAAATTCCTCTTTCCAGCTCAACTGTCATTCCTGTAGGGTCTTGAGTCACTTAGATAATGGTATTTAACTTTGTTTGTAGAGACACTGTCTTTATTAGACTCTGCTTCTCAAAGACAAATTTGTTTGCTTTGTGATATTTGTAGTTTGTCCCATGGACAGAATTCTATAGTAATAGGGAAAGTGTTCTCTGTACCTTTATATTATATCTTTATACATCATTTACTACATATAATTCTGTAGTGAAAAAAGTTATTTTGTATAAGATAAAAATAAATCATGACACATTTGGTTTCAGAAAGAACCCTTTCCCCCAGGAAAGTAATGTGACATGCTTCCTTATTTGCTGACCTCTGTTTGTTGCATTCATGTAGGCTTCAGACAGCTCTTTGTTACAGAGTGATGGTGGTGAATACCAACTTTGTATCTATTGCTATAGATTAAGGTTTTGTTATGATTCGAGTATGCATACTTTCTGACTTACTTTAGTAAAATACTTTTGCATTGGTTCGCTTAAAATTTATGGGGAGAAGAAAATGGATAATGAGAAGCTCTTTTAACATGAAGATAGAAATGCAGTGTCTCTTTTTAAGCTCCTTTCCTTTCCTTGTTTCAGATTTCTGCACACTGTATTTAGGTGAATTATACATTGTGGTTGATTGAATTTATTAATGACCCTGATTTTTCTTACCTACTTCCATTTCTTCCCCGTATAAATTTACAGGGCCCTTTGATCTGTGTAGACATTCTTACTCAGGGTCATGTGGCCTGCTCTTGGGCCAATGGGATATTGACATATGTGACACAAATAGAGGCTTCCAAAATGCTTATATGATTGCATATTTCACCATGAAAAGGACAGGCCTCACCTAGCTTGCTGGAGGATAAGATATGTGAGGTAGAGTTGAGTCACCTCAGTTATCCCAGACAAAGCCATCTATAATCAATAGAGGCACAGACTAACTTGTAGCTGATAGAAGATGAATGAATGAGCTCAGTCAAGACCCCGTATTTAACAACTTTAGGTTCAGAATTCTGCGTTTGATCTCAAAATCAAAACTAACAGTGTCAAATAAGTATGCAGTCGAGACCTGTGCCCTAGTGAACATCTGAAAACTCAATGGTGAATAATTATGCCCTTTCCAGGAAATTAACTTATCAGGTCACTGAGCAAGCTGAAATATTTTCAGAGAGGCAGCTTAAAGCCCTACTACCTTTTGGAATTATCAGGCTTCATCCTAAATTATGGACTTTACTGACAATTACTATAGTACTACTTTAGAAAGAATTTTCCATTTATTTCAGGAATACTGATGAGCCAGTTTCAGTTTTATGCCCCTTCCTATACTAAATGTAGTGACATATTTGGGGAAAATTACAGTAAATGGCAAAAGTAAATCCATTGAACTTTCCTAACATATACATTATTCCTTGTCACTCTTTGTCAATACATTTATTGTATTCATAGGCCTATTTCAACAAAGGCTGTATTACTATTATAGTTTCAAATATTAGCATTCTTCTCACCACTAACCATTAATCAGAATGGCACATATTTTGAGTGTTTGCCCCTCTCAAACTTGAATTATTCTGCTAATGAGATTCACTTGAATGTAGAGGCAGTCTCTTGTTAAACTGCTAGCTCTCAAACTAGCACAATTCTGTATACATTGCAAGTGCTTCATAAATATTCAGTGATGATGGTATTTGCTCATGATAAGCTCTTAACCCTCGTGTTGATCCCACACTAGCAAAGAACAATTTTCGCAAAATATCAGAAATCTTTTCATATTTATTTGGATTGTGGGATTCTAAATGGAATGAAAGTTTCTGGAGTAACAATGAAACAAAGTTATTGCTTCTTCAAAGACATCTACTTACTATCTTGTATGACACCTTCTAATTTTTCAGAGAGGTCTGTCATTAAGGAGGACACATACTTAATTACTGCAAGATGGGTATCATGTTTTCTCTTTGGAGCTCAGTATCTTCCTACTGATGCAAATGTTTTTCCATTTTTTTTTTGTTTGTCTACCAGTATAGTAGTACAATTGGAAACATTGAAGATTCCTGCAACTATCATTTTTAAGGGCCCAGGTAAAAAGAAATAAAATGGTAGAGAAGATAAAGTGGGCATATACATGCTATTAATTCACACACACATGTATGTGCATACTTTCACCTTAAAATTTTGCTAAATCTTGAAAACCACTTAACCTTATCTTCCATTTTTCTTTACTTTAGCATGTAGAACTACACAGTGCTGAAAGTTTACCTTAGGAGTATATCTATGTGGTTAACAAGTCTAGGAAAACAAACAAAAAAATCAGGTAATAAATAGAAACATTTTGGAAACTTACATTTTTGCATCTTTGGAAGCTTACCTGTAAACTAAAGGGCTCAAGGTCAGATTCTTTTTCTTTTTTTTCTTTTTTGATCAAATTTGTCTCATATGTGTACTTTTGTGTAAGGCAAGTTTAGGTGGGTTGAAAAGTAGAGAAAATGTAAACAAAAATTCAAGATATAACTGTTTGGAGAATGCAAGCTAAGAAGTAAGCAGTTTGTATGCTTTGATATCAAGACCTATGTGGAGTTGAATTTATCCAAATAATTAAAAGGCCCACATTTAATTTAATAATTCATAAAATCCTTTTATACCAAGCTACAATACATGCCAATTATCCATTTAAAAAATAAAAAAATAAAATAAAATAAAATAAAAAAAATAAATTAGAATTATTTATTTTTTTCTTTTGAGGGGGGTTGGGTCTTTACCACCTTGAACTGCATTAGAGGCAGTGTGACCAGCAGCACAGAATCTACAGTGCTTCCTATAAAGAGAATAAGGATCAGGAGCACTGTGTCTCAGGCTCTGGGTAAAAGAGAATTCCATGGTTCATCAAACAAACATCTAGGTGGCTGCTTTTAAGCATACCCTGAGGATACAGTGGGAAACAGACAGAAATGGCCCCAAGACTCAGGACTGCTCACAATACAGCAGTGCTGTGGTCATGCTGGTGGGAAAATAATTAGTTTAGATCAATGCTTAAAAATGGAAGAAAAGCTAGATGAGATTTTTTTTGTTTGAATTTATTTGTCCTCTTTCATCAATCTAAGTTCAGCTGTTGAGTCAAGCCACCCAGTTGGGTTGGGCATGAAGGTGGAGAGCACATTTGAGTCATATTCTGAGAAGGACACTACCTACACAACCCTTCTAAGACCTGGACTGCTGCTCTGACATTGGGATTTTTATCATGACTCAGAATAGTCTACATCCTTATCTGAGGAGGTGTGATGGGCCAATGAGCTTCTGGGCTTCCTGTAGAAACATGTTCTGTTCCTTAGCATATTAAGCAACATGTGCACCAGTAAGACTTACCCAACAACCAAATGGTTCTATTTTCCTAGGACTTCCCAGTTTTAGCTCTGAAAACCTCTTGTTCTAGGAAACCAACCCCTCATTTACAGCAAACCTAGACAGATGGTCAACTTCAATCTGGGACTATGTGGCTTTTACCTGACTTAGCACAGGTTGCTTCAAAAACTACAATAAAGCCTTTCTTTTCTTCCTATTTCATAGGCAATACTATATTTTTGTATGTTCTTACTTTTCCTTTTAATGCACTACCAGCACATGCTTTTTTCCTTCTTATTTCCAATTCCCTTTGTCTAGAATTCTTCCAGTGGCTTAAATAGACTCCAGGAAAGCCTTCATTTGAAAGCCTTTTATGTAAGAAATAGGAAGGCAATGCCTTACCATCTCTTGACATTCCTAGGGCAAGACACTTCTGCAGTCGGCAGTGTTGGCAACGGTTTCTGTTGGTTCTGTCAATTAAACAGTTTCTCTGCCTTGGGCAGGAGTAAGAGGCATTGTTCTGCTGGCTCCTCCTGAAGAATCCCTGGAGGGGAGAAAGAGAATGGGAGGGAGATAGAGACATAAGAATGGGAACAGAGACTATTAACATATATATATTTGCTACATTTTCTCCAGTGAACATAACTGCATTTGATTTTTAAAATTCTTTAGATTGCTTAAGGATGTTTCTACCAGGGAAAATATGTGCTATCTATAGAGATATGAAAGTAGCATTCATTCCTTCATTTAATCAATGTTTACTAAAGACATTTTCGAGCTATGCTGCTTTATGCAAAGAAAAACAGAACAGAGTTCCTGCCCCAAAGAACAGTGGGAAAGGAGTGGCAGAGGGAAGTGTCACTGCTAAGCCAAATATGACAAAACTTGATGGGGATGATGACAGAGGCTTATGTCAAGAGCAGTGAGGTGAGGCACTGGGGAATTGGTTGAAACAGCAGTATTGAGTTTGGGCTCGGTATATGCTACTATCTTCCTAGTTTCTAAGATGTATTTTTGCCACTTGAAAATTTTTGAATTTGGCCACAATGTTTGTAGAAGGTTGTTTTTTGAACCACTGATGTACTTTTAATCAATTACATCTTTGAATAAGAAACCATAGTAATTAACTGTTCAATAAAACATAAGCAATAAGTAAAAGCTGAATTAATGCTCTCTGCTTGGCCTCAGGCTTTACTGATGTAGGAAGTTTTATGTAAATAAGTTTGGTTCCTTCTGGTACACCATGAACTGCCAAGGACCATACATTGCCCTCCTGAATAAACCAGAGCTGAGTTTGTTAGTTCTTTACGTTTTGGATACCACTCGCCTTAGTTACCTTATAGAAAACCCTACCAGGAAATAAACATTTTCTCCAAAGATATGAAAGTATTATTCACCTGTTTAATCAGTTTCCCTAATCAGTCTTTACTCTTGCATTGCAATACAACCAAAGAGCAAAGTGCAACAAAGTGGTAGTCTACAGATTTCCCAGGAGACATTTTAGGAAAAGATAACCCACAGTAATATCTTTTGCAAGAGGAAAGCTAGAGAAGTTCCAGGTGGTAAACCCAATACTCATCTTGCTGAGAGGCCTGGAATGGGTCCCTCGACTCTCTCAAAAAGGTGGGTGTGTCCTCACTGTCAACAGAAGATGGGCTGGGGCTGGGACTAAGGCGAGACTCATGAGGCAGTTACCTTGGCCCCAAAATTTAAGGATTACCCAAATACTTGGTAAACAAGATAAGTAATATATGAACACAATATGTTAAAAATCAATACCAATGCAAAAGAACTTCCAACTGTTTAAGTAAAGACAAGATCAAGATTAGTGATTGCCCTTTGTTTCAGGCTCCCATATGGCCCAGCATGGCACTGTCTAGAGAGGGAGGTGGGCCTTGTGAAAAAAACTCAGAAATGGATGCGTGGCCCCGTATCTTCATAGAGAGAGCGGGCCAGCTGGTTTTGTGGTGTAACCCTCAAAGACTAGCTTCATCCCCACAAATACATCTGTATTATTTATTTAATGGACCAATGGTGGCAGAAGGAGTTATCTAATTGCCCAGTTCTAACAAATTCATGCCCCTTAATATGGAGATCATAACCAGCCAAGCACCCAGGGATTGAAATGATGTATTTCATATTCCACAAAAGTAGTCAGAAAGCCCATCGGAACTGACTAAAGATACCTTGAAATTTACAATTTAAGGAAGAATTGGGCGGTTTTAAATTCTTGGATACTCTCTAGTGCCACTTAACAAATGACTGGGCAGAACAGACACTTCTGAAGTCATAGCTACAAGCCTAATTTAAGGCCAGTTTGTCATTAACTGTGAGATTGTGAGGCATTACTTAGGTATCTGTTGCTCATTATTGTAAATGAGGTTTTTTTTTTGTTGTTGTTTTTTGTTTTTTTGGCATGAAACAGAAATTGTTTCAAATTTTATTGAATAGAAATTCGAATAAGTGCACAAGCTGACTTGATGTTATTTAAAATGAGTTGTTTATGATGACTGGAAAACAGTATTATGAAAGCTCAGAAGTTGCTACTAGATGTGCTGACACTGACATCTTGTTCTAAATGGAATTTCTTGAATGGTCTGTTTGAAGAAAAATCTAGCATATTTACAACTGTAGGTTTTTCCATGGAATTAAAAAACAACAACAATACCAGTGTGGTTTACAATGTCATTTTGACTAAAACCTCAGTGTGTGCTTCAGAATAGCAGCCTAATTTCTTTGACTGTGGATTCCTCCTTTAAATAGAAGAAATGACAGGAGCCTAAACAGTTTGCCTGGCTGTTGACCTGTTGGAATATATTAATATTTGTTCAGTAGTTAAATCTTTCGGGAATTACTGTTTCAAATGTTTTGCTCCTTAACATGAATATATCCTTATCTTTTGATATCAGATATTTTCCAACAGAGCTTATGCAATGAAACACAATACATCTATGCTTTGAAACTAGTCTAAAAAGTGTGTGTGTGTGTGTGTGTGTGTATACTATGTAAACTAGACCAGCTTTCACTAGAGAGGGTTCTAATTTCAAAATTATTAGCATTTATGAAGAAAATCATCTACCTGCCCAATAGTAGTAGTAACATTCTGGGAAGGTAAAATATTGCTGATTTGTACTTTTGCCTTATTGATCCTTTTGATGAGTTGAAAAAAATTGCATGAAAGTGGATAACATGCAGTTCTTTAAAAAAAAAATTTTTTTTTTATTGATTTCAGTGAGGAAGGGAAAGGGATAGAGAATAGAAGCATCAATGTTAAGAGAGAATCACCAATCAGCTGCCTCCTGCATGCCCTCTACTGGGGACTGAGCCTGCAACCCAGGCATGTGCCCTGACTGGGAAGCCAACTGTGACCTCCTCATTCATAGGTCAACGCTCAACCACTGAGTCACACCATCCGGGCTAATATGCAGTTCTTATTTGTGGGTCTGCAGAAGAATGGAAAGCACATTTCATGATGTTCAAATATGTTCAAAGAAAGCAGGCAGGTCAATATGTTAATGGGCTCTTATATTAATGTTATTTTCCCTTCTCTGCATTCCTTTCCAATTTTACTTTCATATATATATATATTCTTTTTTTTTCCTTCCCTCCAGTTTCAATCCCAGGAATCTTGGTGTGTTTTGTTTTGTTTTGTTTTGTGTTTTAGACTATGATAAGACTTGCCAATTTTTCACACTACTACTTGACAGATATAGTATGTTTTGTTTTATTTATATTTAAAATTCTTTCAAGATTAAGGTTGGTTTTAAGACCAACCTTAAATTAATGATTTACTCTCTTGTATTTTTTTATCAAAAATATAATTGCTTTTATCAGTAACTTTGCCAGCATATCTCTTTTCCCTACCAGACTATAGCTGATTTTATTTATTCTGGTTCCATGTTGCCCTTTAAAATTAGTTGTAGAACTGCTTTTATTAGTATTTCCCCCTTGATATGTAGTCTTTCTTTTCTTCTAAAGATTAAGTCAAGAAATATATGTTAAGTTTCAAATTTCTCTTATTTCAGATTAGGTCTAGGTTAACCACTATACCCACCATATCTATCTTCTCTCTCTCTCTCAACCTCTCTCTCTCTCTCTCTCTCTCTCTCTCTCTCTCTCTCTCTCTCTCTCTCTCTCTCTCTCTCTCTCTCGGCTTCGTATTTTAAAAGCAACTTGTCCATTTGTTTTGCAAAGAATGGTGAATCTGTCCTGGAGAGACAGATTGAACCAAGAATGAAAACACCCATGTTGTTGGCCAAGTTCTCTTGCTAACCAGATCAGTGACATTGGTCAAATGACATAACCTTGTTTATACCTCAGGAGCTCATTGAAAAATGAGGAGGTTGTGCAAATGCTCTTTAATTAATTTAGAGATTATCTGGTTTACGTCTAACATTTCATGCTTCCAGGTGTTTTTTGTTTTGTTTTGTTTTTTACATTTTTCTGGGATGTGAGAATAAAGATAGCTATATGCATATTGCAGCTCTTCCTTTGATTTCTTACTCAAGCAGATAAATTAATGTAGGCCCATTAGCTTATAATATTTTTTTTTTCACCTTTAGCTTCTTCATATAGTAATAAATGCCCTGGAATTTATTGGAGATAATACTGATAAGAAAAGGAAGAATCAGCATTTATATCTCTGTAAATGTGAATAATTCAAGCTTTTACATAACCATCTGTTTTTAAGTATTTGCTGGCCAGTTAGACAATAGCAAAAAGGTGAAAGGCCAAAGCATGGAAAACCCACCCACCCATCAAGCAAGAATCCCTGCATGTCAGCAGCAGGCACCCGAATGCTATAGCAGGCCTTCTTTAAAATGGTGTCACCACATGCATCCTGAGGTACACAAGTGCCTGAGGCAAACACGGATGCTGTGGGCAGTGCTGTGTTAAAGCCCCATACCTTGCAGCCTTCACACGTGATGACTCCGTAGTGGATCCCGGAGGACTTATCGCCACAAATTTTGCATGGTATCACTTCAATTTGTGCTGAAAAGGGAAAACAGACATTTTGAGCTCACAGAGTTGTCTTCTTACTTTCACCCTCTACCTTCTCTCCACCCCTCCCTGCCATGACTTTGGTGCTTGAAGACACCGTTGTGGGATTTGGAGTGTGGTGTGGGGTAATCTACTACTGTTGAAATGGCCTCCCTAAGCCCCTTCGGGAGGCCATTGAAAGTTGGGGGGCATCTTATTTGCTTTTTTTTCTCAAACTAAAATATATAACCAGAAACCAGATGTTTTGTAAACCATTGCCTTCATCATTTTCTCCTTTATAAACTTGACCTTGAAATAATGCGAGTGAAAAATCCCTGGACCTGAGGCTTTGCTTTTCTTATTTTGCACTTCAAACATGAAGTTAAGAAGAGCTATCACATTGCCTCACTTCAATAATTTTTAAAATAGGCAAATAAAGCAAAACTGGAGGGGGGTGGTGGTGATTTTATATATTATGTGGATGAATGTTTACTTGTGAAAATGTCGATGATAAGTCAGTCAAATATTTACTGAGCATACTCTATACGCCCACTAAAATAATAAATGTTTTTTACATAAGATACAATATACACACTAGGGAGATTCGCTTTTTCTACACCCAAATTAAAATATGCAAAATATGCTTCAAAATGCTTTGTATATGAATGTGCCACGTGGATGCTTTTCTACCATTTCTGACCTTTAAATATACAAAGTAAATAAATGCAAGCAAGACATAAACTTCTTTACCTTATTGTTCCACCTTAAAAATGATAACACTTTACATTTTTTGCAATTAAATATTTCATAGTAAGTTTAAATTGAGGAGGGATATAGAGGGAAACCTGGGGCGGGGGGCAGGGGGGGCGCTAGCAATCTCAATCTGTGCCAGTGCACATTCTTGTTAGCCTGTAATTAAGTCACTGCCCCTTCCTTAGGCAATACTCTGTGTTCCTGGGTGCTCCCAATTTGCAGGAGCCATGGGCAGGGAATTTGGCAGCTTGGCCAGGGAGTGGAGGTGGGGGCCCCTGGCGCCACCCAGGCCAGGCATTTAGATACATCTAACTTCCCCATTCTAACTGAGGAGGGGCTGGGAAAACCCACCACAAAAGCCTGGTAATTAGGAAACAGATAAGAAGCAAATTTAAGAATATATAAGGGGTGATCTCATTGTATTAACTGTTCAGGCTTTGGATCTTTGAATCCCCTGAGCCAGCAGCGTTCCTTTAGATAAAGGGTTTTTTCCTGAATCTCCGAGTACTCCTTGTGTATTTTCCAGCTGCCTGGTAAATTCTGCAACAAAATCATCTTTATAAGCAAAAAAATCCAGTGTTATGTTCTCTCAGAAAACTGAGGATCAAGGTGGCTAATGGTGCCCTTGAGTTGACTAAGGATATGGCAACCAGAAATTAGCCAATTTTCCTGATACTTTATTTAGTAACCCTTTCTCGGCCTCCCACAAAGATAAAATATGAATACAATTTTGAATTTCTATATCATTCCAGGAGCACCAGCCATAGAGATATTGACTAAAAACACCAGAAGAGACAAAGTTGACTAAAATGATTATTAAGCTATTTTATTAGCTTCTTTTCTTTTAGCTTTCAGATTACATGAACTAGTATTTGTTTTCAAGATTTAGTGATATGGAAAAAAATTAGAGATTTTATGTCATTTTACTCTCTTCTGTTCTCCTTGATTCCAGTCCTAATCTGTTAATGATTAAGGCCATGGCAAAAATAAAACTGATCTTGTTTTGTTTTATAAAACTCAGCTGACAAACTTAATTGATTTGTGAGGATTAAATGAGATATTGTATGTAGAAGTGCCTTATAAGTAGCAGAGTGGTATAACGTCATTCTTTTTCTTTTTTTTAAATGTATTTTATTGATTTTTTACAGAGAGGAAGACAGAGAGATAGAGAGTTAGAAACATAGATGAGAGAGAATCATCGATCAGCTGCCTCTTACACACCCCCTACTGGGGATGTGCCCACAACCAAGGTACATGCCCTTGACTGGAATCGAACGTGGGACCTTTCAGTCCACAGGCCAACACTCTATACACTGAGCCAAACCGGTTTTGGCTATAATGTCATTCTTCATCATCAGCATCAGCATCATTGTTAACTGGCATTTTTAATGCTTTTGGACAAGAAATATTATAAGCTACATCATTATTCTTTTATTAAAAATCTTATTTTATTAAAAATACCAAATGAATAACAATTTGATATTTATACTGTTTTTTAAAAAAGTGATAACCTTTTGAACAGTAAATTCCTTACAATGATTACAAAATTTACTAAGAATCCCAGGTATCCATTGTAAAGTTGTTAGTCTTATATGCTCTTTGCATAAATTACTCCTCAGGGAGTAACTTACACGTGGGGCGAATCTGCTTCAATAAGTTCTTAATTATAAAATGATCTAACTCTAAAGGAAATGAAAATAGAGGTAATTTGCCCCCTGGGAAGCAAGAAGATGTTTTTGAAAGCCACAAAGGTTATCTTACACAACTTCGGAAATACAAATGGGATAAGAAATGATTTGATAGAGCATCTGCATATTTATACATATTTATAATCCTAGCTCAACATGTAATCCTAAAGAATCATAAACATGAGAATAGTATTTTTAAAGAGAAAGAAGCCACTTAATAGGGTATATGTGTGTTGTTGTGTGTAGGAAGGTTTGGAAAAACCTATGCCCATTTTTGCTTATTATGGCAGAATAGTTAATCTGAGATCTATTATAGATGAAGATAAATAAAGTCACTAATCCTTTTGTCTCATTTAAAATAAACTGCTTCTGAGCCACAACTTGATAATTCATACTGTGTATTTTTTATATGTTTTTAAAATTGATTTTAGAATGAGAGGAATGGAGAAAAACAGATGCACACCCCATATTGAGGATTGAGCCCACAACCCTGGCATATGCCCTGACCTGAAATTAAACTGTGATCTCCTGGTTCATAGGTTGATGCTCAACCACTGGGCCATACCAGCTGGGCTTTACTATGTATTTTATAAAGCACATCTTCAAGACAGAGTATTTCAGACACTGATTAAGACAACAGGTCATGTGATTACTCCAATGTTTGCCATTTCTAAATGTTTGGCCACTATACCAGCCATAGTCTCCAATATTTTAAATTTTATTAAAAATTTATTAAAAATAAATCTGTATGCCTTGCAGTGCATACAGATCTGCTGACATGCTTTCTATCATGGTTTCAAACTGAGAATCTAGGAAGGATTTGCTGGTTTGGACTTCATTACCTGTTGCAATGAATGTGTGATAAGGAAACTGAGGAGAGAATTCAACTTTCATACTTTTGCTTAACTCATGGATTAATTAAAAAAATAGCATTCTCTGACAGATAAACATAGAGGAGCTGAAATGCTCTGAGAGTTGGCTTGAGATATGTGGAGAGTGGTTACAGCGTTTGGACAGATTCAAGCCTGGGACTAATGAGAGGGCACGATCCTCTCGTGGCAAAGCCACCTGCAAGTCCCAGCACTATTATAGCCAAAGGCTATAGTTGTAAGCTTGACCTTATGGTCCGAACCTGTGGTCCCACATGGCTGAGTGATATAGGCTGTGGGATGTGCAGCAAGTAAACAAAATTTGATCAGGTGCATGTAACTGAGTAGATTCGAAACCAGGGAGAACATCGTGAACATCTTGACCATGCCCTTACTTTGCCTCGTGGAATCTGGTTATAAAAAAAGACTAGGCTTACTGGCCGTGGCAGTATCTCTCCATCATAAAGCAGCATCCTACCTAGTGCCCAGCTTTATTCTCTTATCTGTCTTTTCTCAATCCTTCACCGCCCCCTCTCAGGTTCACCCATAGCCATGCAGGCTTGGCATAGAGATATGCTGATCTTTTTTCATTTCTTTTTTCTTCCTCTCACTTATATTTTTCTGTTGGTAATCCTTTGTAAAGACTACTTAACTGTTTATTTACCAGTTAATTTTTTGTTTATCAAAGCAATCGGTTTTTTGAAATGATTTTTATAATGCCAAAGAAAGTCATGATATAAACTTATTTCATGGTTTACCTTATATTAGACCCATGTTTGAACTATAAATAATTTAATCCCCATAGTTTTGCAGAGTTATGTAATAGTTACAGAGTAGTCAAAAATTTTCTCTTGTTTGAAGATGACAAGGTCTGTCCTTGCTCAGAGCACCTTCCCATCCAACAAAGCCACCATGTGTTGAATCCTTTCTGCTTATCTTTCCTTGTGCTCCCTTAGATCCCCCTGCCTGTAGAATCAGGTATTAAGTTAGATTAACCAATCTAAATGATTGAACTAATTAGAAAATGTATTACTGTGACCCATAAAATTACCCTAATGTTTTTTTCTCATTAAAAAAAATCTTTATTGTTGAAAGTATTACATATGTTCCCCATATCCCCCATTGACTTCTAATCCACCTCCACCCCCACATCCCAAGCCTTCACCACCTTATCTATGTCCATGTGTTATACATATATATTATATACAAATACCTGGACTTTTAATAGCAACCACCAGAAACGGTAGTAAGAATGGGCTGTTCAGATACTTTCTGGCTGGTGAAAGTATTTTTACTGTGTGTGCACTTGTGACTCTCAGTTTCTACCATTCCATCTCTTACAACTCAACCTGGCCATTTTTATATTCTGGGCATTCCAAGTCCATTGAGGACAGAGTCCAGGTTTATTTCTGTTATATTTCCCATGGAGCCCAAAAGAGAATTTTTTTTATAACTCTTTAAAGCAGTCATCCTAAAATTGTTTTTCTTTAGTACAACCAAAAAATTTGACATACTCCCTTTTATAAAAGAGGCTTTAAGCAACACTGATTTTCCATGTATGAGGTGAGGAGAGAAAAAATCAGAATCTTGAGGTTGGGGTGGATGCATACTTTGGAATAGACCCGTAGGTGATTCTGATATGATATGATAAGGCCCCACTGAGTACACAGTGAAACAAGTTATTAAGTAGGAAATCTCCATA